TCTAGTTATATTATTTAAACTAATAGAATTAGAATTATTATTCTTATCATTAGTATTAATTACATTAGGATTAGAGTAGGATTTAATAAAATTATTATTATTCTTATTATACTTGCTAATAACATTATTATTATTAATATAATTATGGTTACTAACTATATTTATTTTTTTGTTAGAGTTAGATTTATTATTTTTATTGTTATTATTAGACCTAAGATTAAAGTAAAAAATTCGCCGCCGAACTACTCTCGTCGGAGACAAAGGAGTGTTAGAAAGGCTTAAGAGAAAGTCTCTAGAATAAGACATAATAATATTTTCAAGTTAAGGAAAAGATGTTGAAAGATATAGAAAAAAATAGTCATAGTAAAAAAGAAGAGAACTCACTTGTTCAGAAGCAGAAAACAAGAATCCACCCAAATTAAAAAACCACCGAGAAAACGTGCCGCCATCACGCTAAACGTAAACCATTATATCGAACAATAAACAAATAAATCGATTTTAAATACTTTTTACTTTTCAAGAATTTTGTTAAATAAAGTTATTAAAGTTTAACTTAGTTATTTTTTTGCGTTGTCAATATATAAGGTCACAACAATATGAATTACAGTCAAACAAAGCAAATGAGTTAGAAACATCAAGGTTTAAATACTTAATATAATCATTATTACCAACCAATTTTGAGTGAGAAGTAAATGAGGAAACAAATTTCTTATTAAAATTATCACATAATATTGATTCATCAATTATTAATTGATTATCAATATTAATAGAAATGGGTGTAGGTTATATATATATATATATATATATATATATATATATATATATATATATATATATATATATATATACGTGTGTGTGCGTTTGCAAGCTCTTGTGTCAATGTTTTTGTGAGTACGCAATTGCGTGTGTGGTTTTTGGCAAGTCTTATGTGTATATACAAGTTTGTGTTGTTGATGTGTGTGTTTAGTTACACGTTTGCTCACGGCAACGTGCATTCAATGTTTTATTTTTTTAATTTTGTATATTGCAATTTTTCAACAAAGTTTGTAACATAGCTAGGTAAAATATTCCAACGAGAAGTGGACGTGGAAATTAAAGTGATTAATCTCGGTATAATACTAAAAATGTTAACGGAATTGAGTGAAGGTTGTGCAGCATCATTAATAACTAAATTGAGGGAGTGGCTTCCACAATGAAGATAAAAAGCTAAAGAATTTAAATCCAAAATTATTTTTTGGAGACCGATAATTTTGCCTTTTATATATGCGCCATTACTGACAAAGGCCTTGCCCTTTCCCTCGACAAAGACGTATCTTCATTCCAAATTCTTTTAAAACTCCAATTATAATTTTTTTTAAACCAAGACCCGTCGGGTTGTTAACAATAGAAAACCAAAGAAAATTATCATTTATTTTTATAGAATATTCTGATATATTCACAATTCTAATTGTGAGCAAAAGCAGTTTTTTGTGAAATATGTCAGGAATGCAGTCAACAATAATAGAATAATATGCAGCCTGTGTAGTTTTGGATAGAATTATGTTTGTTACTTTTGATGCCATTACATCTATCATTTCATTTTAAATAGTTTTTCCATAGTAGTGATCAAAAATGTTTCCTTGAAGAGCTAGCGTGACGTAGTTCAACATTCTAGGATCAAATTTTGCTAGTAATTGTATCAGTCGTAAAAATTTATCATTATTAACTGGATATAGTCTATCAGATGAACCTCTGAAAGCCATAATATTTGTTGCCAAATATAAAGTATTATTCGTCAATCGATCAAGAGCGTTTTGCATCTTAAACTTTGCTTTCAATTAATTTTTGTTCTTGTTTTACAATGGTTTTACCGACTTTCATATTTATTTCATTCTTATTTCTGTCTCAATCCATTGTTGATAAGCCTTTTTGTGAGACACACTATTTTTGTGAATTTTCAATGTTTCTGCCAGATTTTTCCATTTCTTAAACCCATCTCCTATTAACTTTGAATTTTTGTTGAAATCTAAGAGTTTGCAACAAAAACAAAATACAGCATCTTTAGAAGCAAAATACACAAGCCAACGTTGTGACGTTGTAAAATAACTTTACCATTTGAAAGATTTTGATTATAATAAGCATTTGAAAAACGTCAACTTTTATTATCGCATGGATACCTAGCCAGATTTACTTAGATTACAACCATATTAATTATATATTCAACAAATTGATTATTACAATAAATTGTCCACACTACTACTACTACTACTACTACTACTACTACTACTACTACTACTACTACTACTACTACTATTACTACTACTACTACTACTACTAATACTACTACTACTACTAATACTACTACTACTACTTCAATAAATAAAAAAGTGGTTTCCAAATTAAGTGTACAAAATGATTAAGATGTATTTAGATAGATCACGACTGATCTATCTAAAAAATGTTCCGGCACAGATAAAGTTACAAATTTTAAGACAATTCATCTCTTCACAATTGAAGTTTGAATTTACGGAGCTACAACTTTTCGAGTGGCATGAATCGCGAATAACTTGGACAACCTGATGGTAGAAGCAATTAGTAACTGGCTAACAGTGCCAGCTAGCAAATGTGTGCTGAAGATACTGGATCTGTTATTAGAAATTGGTGGCCACAGCCCACAATATTGTTTTACTCAAAGACTCTACGTTGAGAATGAGTCTAAAACTCCGCAACTATTTTAAAACAAGCTCAAATGCAAAAATGCAATGTCTTTGGCAAAATACATCAATATACAACAAGTATTAAGAACACTTTATTACAAAAGCCAACGATCAAACCAAGCAAAAAAATAAATCAAACAGTAAATCAGGAAGGTAAAACTTAAAATCAACAAAAACGCTGAAGTACCCGTACAAACTTTTGTTCATTCATTCAAAAAACCCATCCTTCACTGCAATCAGACGTGAGGAGAGTCGTCAGGTCAGACAGCAATGAGTGGTAGGATTTTTGACGGGAATCCCATGGAATGGGATTCCCGTCAAAAATCCTGGAATCTCATGGAATGGGATTCCCGTCAAAATGGGACACGGGAATTCCATTCCATGGGATTCCCGTGTCCCATTCCAGTGGATTCCAGTCAAAAATCCTACCCCTCATTGGTAGCACTCCCTTTAAATAGGCAACGACGTGGATTACTGCAATAGACTGCAGGTAAGTTGAGTTCAGATGTAGTGCTCATATTTTTACTGAAAAAGTTCAAAATTTGATTATTGTGTCATTCGTTCACTCACTATTAAATTAATTACACTTGGTTTTAATTAATTTATTAATTGCATCAAATGATCTCATACAAAAACACCTTTATAACCTTATTTGTCACTAAAAGATGTAAATCCCATATTTTTTTGTTATAATCTGTCCTATAACCAAATTAATTTTTCCATTTTGAATTAGGACAAGACGGTGCAATGATGCCAGCCAGACCGACCACAACCACTGCAGCAGCTTTTTCAGTAGTTGTAGTGGCCGATGGTGAATGCGACTTTTTTTATCAACAGGATAAAAAATTTTGATCAGAAATTTGTTTTATGTATTGTTAAAAAGCATAATTTTTATAATAAAATGATTTTTATTGTAACTAACGAAGTAGTTAATAAAATAAAATTAACTCAAAGTAAAATTTGTATGAAAATTTTTTAAAATCTCGACGAAAACATTTAAATAAGGCAGACATCACTTTAAATTGCAACATTTCGAATAAAATTATCACAAAGAAATTTAAATAAACGCCAAAAAATGCTAGGTTAAGTTTCATGCTCAAAATAGTTAAAAATTAGTGGCGTTTTAAGTTAGATACTTGTAGTAATTCATAGTAAAAAATATTTGAAAATTAAATCTATTTTGATTAGTACTAAATATTTTTCAGAAAATAAAATTTTCAAAGAGTAATTAATATCTATTTATTCGTTACTACCAATAATAGTATTTCGTTTACTAGGCTGGATCTCACAATAACTTACTGGACGGTCTTCAACAGGAGTCAGACCAAAATAACTATAATTGTTAGCAATCGTTGAGTCATACACATCTTCAATGGTGCCGTAGTCAGCATCAACGTCAGCATTTTGATGTTTGGGACGAGGTGTTTGAATGACATTTGCTTCTATGTTGTTAGTTCTACTTGGCTTTGCAAATTTTTTTTCTGTTTATACGATTCATTAGTGAAAATTTTTCAATATGGGTATTGGGTATAATGATACTGATACAATCTTACTTCGAATTATGAAGTATGCTGCAGAAGTGGCAATCGTGATCAACAAAATAATCGATACCACTACCAATGCTATCATCACATCTTTCTTCTCCTGGTAAACTGTGAAGCCAATTTTTGATTTATAATTTTGAAAACAAACTCAAATAGAATCTGTTATTATTATTTATCCCTAAATTCTACCTTCACAAGTATACAGATCTTTGTTATAATAGCCGGTGAAGCACATGCAACCGTAACTTCCTACCTTGTTGACGCAAGCCGATGTTGCGCTGTTGCACGCGTTTGAGTCGTTCAGGCATTCGTTTATATCTGCCATTTATACCAAAAATCGTTAAGTAATATTTGCGTAAAGTTTATAAAAATTAAAATTTGCAACTAAATTTTTAGACTAGAGAACATTTCTACATTCAAAATTTTGTTCTCATGCATTTTCAGCGTTGCATGACGCTAAAATAAATTTAGATTAATTCAAATTAGTTGTTACTCTTATTAAAACATTTTATTGAATTTTTTATTAATTTATTGAAAAATATCAACCTGAACAAACATTGTTGGTTCGTTCAAACCCGGGGGAACATTGGCAGTCTAAGGAAGCATTCTTTTGAAGGCAAGGATCGGGATGCACAGGGCAGATTCGCCCATCAGCACATTTATTATTTTCTGAAAAATTGGAAAAACTAGTAACTTGCAGAACAATATTTTAAAAATTCATACGACTACTCGTAGTAATATTGTTTGGTAAATCTAAACAGTCATCATTGTAGTGAGATTTGGTGTAGCCAGTTTTACAGATGCATCCAGTTATTGTTGTTGATTCAATTTCAAATAAAACACATTCATGAATTCCACAGCCTCCGTTGTTTACTGAACAATCTTTGGTGGTGAAAATTAGTGAAAAATTTGGAAAATCACAAAATTTGTTGATTAAAAAAAAGTTAAATTAGAATTGCCAAACCTCTTTCATTGCAAGAATCTCCAATCCATCCTGGTTCACAGATTTGTGATGGACACATCATCCCTGGACCAAGATTGGCTTGAGAAGAGCAATGATAAATATCTGAACAACTTTTATTCAAACCAAAGGTTTCACAAACTGCAATAAATTTTAATTTTTCTTCAGGTTTATAATAATAAAAAACATTCAAATAGTGTTACAAAAATAGATGCTGTTACTGAAACCACTACAATCACTCTCCAAATTTCTATTATATTTGCCAAATGAGAATCCACAAAAGCAATAAGAGTCATACTGAAAAAACAATTTTTTCAATTAGGGGTAATGATTTTCTCAAAATAATTCAAACTAACAACCTAACCTGAAAACCAGCTACCGTGAAATTGTTTTGCAGACAATATTGGAAACAGGATTCCAATGTTTCCAAATTGGATCCGAAAAATAAATCTCTGTCAGAATTATCATTGTAACATCCCAAGTAAATTGGTTTTAACGCCAGCGGTTTAGCTGAAATATTTTGTTTTTGGTTTTTCTTAAAAATTATTTGTCTTTTATGTATAAATTGAAAGTCTTAAATACCCAAATAAACGAAATTCGAGAAACACGCAGCAGTTGGTGGAAACAATTCTAACTCATCCCCACACAAACATTTTCTGTCTTCCTGTTCAATTCAATTCATTTAATTTTATTGAATGACATTTCAAGTTTTTCGACTCTATCTACCTTAACTGAAGAATATTGAAAATTGAACCGCTTGCAAATGTTTAAACACGCTCCCACCGACGTATCATTGAAAGAGGTTATGGTTTGAAATGATTTGAAACATCCGAAAAATTTAGTTGCCAGGTTTTCTAAGTTTCATAGAATTTTCAAAAAATGATGAAAAATAAAAAACAAATTAAAATCACTCACCAAAGCCGTAGACTTCCAGCTCCACAAAAGTCATAGCATTGGTAGGCAGAGTAATTTTAACATCCTGTTGTATTATGACGTATCTGTAGTAAATATTTTTATTTACACAATCGACTCTCATTGGCTGTCCACTAGATGATGCAGCAGTTGACCACCGGCCGCATATATCATACTGACCTCGTATGGTTTTGTTTATTTTTGGATCAAACTTGTTTGTTAATCCAACTATGAAGTTATCCATTATATCGTCTGTAAAGTCCAGAAAAATATATCATCACATTTAATATAAAGGATTGTGCATTTCAAATTGACTCACAGTAATCGGCACGTGCGTATAAGATGGTATATTGAACTTGGTGGGCTCCCACTAAATCAACTACAAACCAGTTTGGATATGGCGGAGATTCAATCGCGAGCTGGCAGTATGTATCTTTTTTGCCATCAACGCAATAATTGGGATACCGTTTACTGAGTGTGGAGCTCAGGTAGGCCGGTTTGTACAAGGCCACGTTCTCGTATTGCAGAAATTTGTCTGAGAAATATTTTAGGATATTTTAGTTTTATTGTGTAAAACATTTGAAACACAAATAAATTTTTAAATTAAAATGAAGAGTTATGAAGTTTGCAAATCATCGCCGTTTTTAAAAAATTGTAACGTATATATTAACGTTCATATTTATTCTAATTATAACGGCAATAAGTTGAATCAGATGGTAAAACGGACATGCCAGGAGTTCTAAACTTGCGCGAATCTGGTCTGTTTAAACCTTTTTACGTGTCGTGTATGTAATGTGGTACTAGCGCTCACATTCAAACATGTGTCTTCTACCTTTATTTGTTTTATTTTTTATCAGTAATGACTGGGAATATGTATGATTGACTTGGATTGATTATTTCATTACCCATTTTATGGTTGAATGCATGTGCGTATTTCATTTATAAATTTTTTGGTTAATTATATTTTATATTGACTTCATAACTTTATTATTATTGTTTTTCATATGATTGTTTGGTTTTTTTATTGATTGGTAAATAGTTATTGAAATTTCTAGGTTCTAATATAATTATCTGATATAATAATTAATGATTTATGAGTAGGTGGGTATATGAGTTGGTATATGGGTAGGGGAGGTTAAGGAAATTAGATGGACGCATGAATGTTTGTTTATTTTTTCTATTGCATGGGAAATGTGTAGTTAATTCTATGCTATTCAGGTGTAGGATGGGATTAATGGGGTTAGATGGATAAAGTATTTTATTATATCTTGGTTTATAAGTTTGCATTTATGGTGACACTCAAGACACTGTTAGAGTTAATTTATTGTTTTTGGAAATTATTTTCAATCTGCCATGGTATAATGCATTATCTTCGTGGTTATACTTGTGAAGCAATTGTACGAATGTATCGTGGTATGCATGTATAATACTATGTATTTTTTTTCCTGTAAATTCGGTAATGGACAATAGCCCGTGCTTTGTTCAAATAAATAAATAAAAAATAAATACTTGTTAAATAAATTTTCAGCCTTTATGGTATCAGAATTTTAATGCAACTCATGATGCAATGAACAAATTATAAACCACCCCGAGTTTGACGGTGTTGTGTGATCTAACAGATTTAAAATAATTTTTCAGAAGCGTAAATATATAAAAAAAAAATAAAAAATCTCACCATTGGCGTAAACTTCCAGCTCAGAGAATGCTAAAAATTTATCAGTTTGTTCAGCTTCTAATGATTGCTGTACGATAACAAATCTCGAGAATTTATTTCCATCGCTGCAGTTGATTCTCATTGGCTGACCAGGGAATAGGACGTCGGCAGGCCACTGTCCACACAGATCATACTTGCCTCGTATCGATTGGTTCACTTGGGGATCGAACGTGTTTGTCAAACCGATTATAAACTTGTTCATCCGGTAATCTATAAATTTAAAAAATTTAAGTAAAAATATCAATTTTTGATGTTTTATTTTGATCGTTAGCAAACATTTGCAACGCTTTATATCAAGAAGTAAGACATAAATTAATACTCACCACATCCATTTGTACAACTATCTCGATTGTAGAGTATAATATTTAATTTGGTATGCATGAACCACATCCACCACGAACCAGTTTGAATACTGAAAATATCCACTCGCATGTACAAAGTTGTCATTGACTCCAAAAATGCCATCAACACCGTATGATGATACGTATTGGTTATATACCGAACTGAGGTAGGATGGCTTTTTAAGTGCCACATTCACGTACTCAGCTGATTTTTGAAACAATTTTTCAAACTTTTACAGCAATGTTAACACTGTTTTAACCATGCATTTAACTAGACTACATTTCATGTTTAGCTAATACTTAATAAATAAATTTACTCTATAGAATCTGATGAAATATGTGACGATCAGTAAAGTTTCGAATAGTGAAAATGCGATGGGGCTATACAAGTATAATTTTTCCTGATTTTAACTTTTACCAATTTTTAATAAGTTATTAAAATAACCATTCTAACCTGAAAAAGAAGAGATGCATCCAGCCACCAGCAAGCCTACCACAAATTTTTTATTTATCATCATCCAACAAACACGGGCACACACAAAGTTATAATTGAAATAAAAAGAACCATCGCACAAATACGTGCTATTTTATTGAACAAATCATTTCACACCACACTGAATATACTAGCAGCAGGTTTTAACACAATTACATACAGTCACCTCAGAGCGTTACAAACATTTCTCTAGCTGAACAATGCTATTAGGAAGTTTAAAATGAATTAAAAAGCGGAGCTTCGCATGAAAACGTGGAATTTTGCGGTGTTAAAACCTGGATCGTTATTTTGAAACGATGAATTTAAAGAGGAGCTGGGATGCTTTCTTAATAGCCCTACACTTTTGTAGGTTAATCATATACAGTGGGCTATGTGCTGGTTTTTGATTTGATTCAGTTTGATTATTTTGAAATATATATATAACTCAATAATAATTTAGCAAATTTTTAAAACTGAGCGGCTGAGCCCATCTATAAAACACAAATGGGTCTTAGAATTAATTTGATGATGATGAATTAAAAATACTTTTTATTTAATTATAAAATTTAAAAATCATTCAAACGTGACATTTTATTCGCAGGTAGATAGCTGAGGCAAATTAGGTTTTTTGTTATTGAGAGGTTGTCAGTGGCGTAGCGAGCAAAACTAGCTCTCAGGGCAAGACTCTTGTTTGGCACCCCCTCCCCAATGTAAAATTAATTTTTTTAGATGAACACAAAAAATGAATAGAAAAAGTGTTATGCGTTAGAAAAAGACAACTTGTATAGCAATGCTTATCAAAAATTTATTAAACTACAATAGTTTAAAATTGTTTTTTAAACGCCAAGAAATTCATATACATATAAAATAATGATAAAATATCCAAATAAGATATATAAATAAATAAAAATGTTTTTTGTAATCAAAATTGCAAGTTAAATAATGCAATTAAAAAATACTATGCATATATTTTTCTTACCCTTGTAGATGCAAACACATTAATTATTTCATTAAAATCAGTAACTTCAAACTTTTCTCTTTCCACGCTCAAAAATACAATGTCACTCAATCTTTTGCCATTGTTGCTCTTAGATATGTATAAATTAGTTCTAATTTGCTGAAAGATCGTTCACACAACCGATACAGACATGGTCAGAAGAATTTGAAGAGCAACTCTGAGATTTGGAAAAACGTACAGTTGTGCTCTATCAAAATCTGTATTCTAAAACAGGCCCAAATTTACACAACTTTTTTGAAGAGAAAAACATAATTTTGTTTCTTTTTCAATCAATAAATTTTCAACATCCAATAAAATTCAAACTGTGAATTGTCTACTTATTTCTTGCTGCATTCGATCAAGAACGCTCTTCATAATAATAATAATAATAAATGACATTATTATGTTGATTTTTATTGGATAACACGAGAAAGTTCATCTTTCGCTGAAAGGCCAGCATCACTTACCAGTTCTCCAAACATTTTTGGCGTCTCTTTATACGGAATTTCACAGTAAATTTCCATTTTTCCCTTAAAAACTTTGCTTACTCAATCGATTCTTTACAGTAGAGATGGATATGGGTCCATTTTACTGACCCAACCCAACTCAACTCATCACTCACTTAACCCATCCCAATCCAATCCGCCTGAAAATGCCAAATCTCAACCCGACCCACAACTCACCATCTCCACGAATCGCAATTTTAACCAAGAGTCAAACTTTCACAAATAATATTTAAAATTTAAAATAAATTAGTAAAGTGTATTTTTATAAAATACACTGCATATGTCATAAAATAACAGGAAAATTAATTAAAATTTAAATGTTACTAATATTTAACTTAGTTTTTTTTTCATTGGTTCATAGTCACTGTTCCACAATGAGTGAAGGCTAGACGTTATCAATAACCATTATGGAAGCTCAGCAACTCCACCTAATTAATTCAAATTTTTCAACTTTCCGTGCAGACAGACTTGATCGAGCATCTGTGACTGTGCAACCAACTAAACTGAAATCTCTTTCAGAGATGCATAACGCTAGTCTACCAACCTTTGAGAGAAGTGTAAAGTCTTTGACGCTGAATTTTTTCAGAATCTGCCACACTTGTAAATAAAAATAATTATCTCGATCGGAAAGAAGTTAACTTTTACCGAACGGAACAATCACAATAAGAAAGAGGAACAGATATACCATAGACACAACAATATAACTGCAATACAGAATACACCATAGTAAAATTATAATAAAAAATTGAAAATATTGATTCAACCAAACCCAACCCACGCAACTTCGAAAAATTTGGACTCAACCCATGTCCACCTCTGGGTAGGATTGCGTACTACTGTATTTCTCAGTTTGGAAACTAAATAAAATTTTGTTTCGTTTTGATGTCTGGTTCTGCTGTTGCAGTGACCGAATTCGTATGCAAAGAGAGATGCCCCCGTTTATCACATGCAATGTGTGTGGCACACCTGAATCCACAGAATATGTAGGTACTTACAGTGGCGGATCTAGACAACTTTGACGGAGTGGCCAAAAATTTGAAAATGTTTAAATTTTCACGCGGGAGCCAAATTTTTACGGGGAGAGGCCAAAATTTGTGGAAGTGTGGCTGGCGACTTTTTTTGCTTGTCACGTTCAATTTTTGGTCAATTTTAGGCATAAATGGTCTTTTTTCTGACTTCTATTAAAAAACTGCCCCTAACTCTAACCTCTGAATACCTATATCAAGCATGGTTGTAGTAAAAGACAATTACAAGATCGAAAACAGTGAAATTAATATTCTTATATTAATAATATCATTCAAACATCAAAGACATCATTTTTCTAAACTATCTTCTCACAAACGTTGAAACCACGTTCATTTAATAAATAACTGGAATTCAGACTGGCTAAATTTAATGAGAACATTTTGCAGACGCACTCAAAATGACAACAAACGGAAAACCTCATCTGTCACGTTTGGGTTTTCTGACGATTTTTTCAAGTTTTAAAACTTTTTACACAAACGTTAGTGCGTTCGGAGATTTGTACGTTAATTACAATAAATTCCACAACAACGCGAAATTAAAATTTTCAATATCTTTAATGTTATTATTAATCAAATTATTAGTTCGGAGATATTGTGATATTAACATTTTGTAATAAGCGTGTACTGTCTTTGTTGTTATTTAATGTTGACTTTGTACAACGCCAGCAATGGCAACCGATTTTTAAAAAAATTTTAAAACAATATAATAGTATTTTCAATATTAAAAGTATACAGAGATTTACTTGAACAAAAAATAATAATAATTACATTATTAATATTTTTATTAGTATTCCTAACAATAATGTTATTATCATTGTTGCTATTATTAATATTATTATTAGTTTTGTTGCCTAAGCTTACTCTGTCAAAAAAAAATTGGTCAAAAAAAACACTTCATTTGAGGTTTTATTGAGGTTATTGTCCTCACAATCATCAAATCATAGTTTGAAAAAATGATAAAGTTATGTTGCAATTATTAAGACACCTAGTCCTGCTGCTGCTTGCAGTGCTTGTTTTTGAAGACAGAGAGATCTTTACCAGCTAGTGGTGGATCCCTGGGAAGGGGACCTCCAGACCATGAAAATGAAACTTCTGGAGATTCTGTGCCTAATAAAATAAACGGAAATTAACAAAAATGTCACAAAATAAAAATTTTGAAAATCACTCCTCAACAGAGGGATGTAATTTTTGGATGTTGTTTTATCAAAAAGATTCAGAAGATAAAAACAAAATTTTAATAGTATTAACAGTTGAACAGTTTGGTCACGTTGAGTCTTGTAATACTCTGATGTTGGAACTCTAGTGAAGAATCTGGAGTTAGTGTTTGTTGAACATGTTCTGCATTTCTTAAATTCTCGTTTTGTACATTTCAGGAGATTATGTTTATTAAAATGTCACCAGCACCTAGTATGTTCTGTTCTCCGTCGGTGTAGTTTGTACTATCTAGATTGGGTTATAAGAACATTATACAATATTAAGAAATTTGATATTATCGGCCATTACTTTGTCATAGTTAAGATATGACATTTTATAGCACAAACACAAATGGATCTTAATTTAATTTTTTAAAAAATAAAAAAATTAAACTAAATCTTTAATGCATGTTATAAATGTTAGTGAATTAATTTTAGTTTGACGTCAATAATAATGTATTTGTGACAATTGCGATGATAATGATTGCATGATTGAAATATGCCGCCTGTATATTTTGTGAAATTGTGACGATTGCGATGATAATGATTGCGTCTTTGAGGCGTGCCGCATTTATCTATATATTTTATATTTAGGAACGAGGTTTTCATTAATACATATTTTGTTAAATTTATTTGCCCATTTTGCATTTATCAACTTTTTTATTATGGACTCAACACAGCGTAGTTTTTGACGTTCATATTAATTGTGAAATTGTGACATATTAGAAGCTGACAACGTTGTTTCGGCTATATATTTTAATAGACATTCTATGTATGTATATCTTATTATTTGATATGCTATATATGCGACGCTGCTCTGTGCTGTTTTGTATATAGGGAGTATAGCAATATATGGAACGCATGCTACGCGCTGTTCTGAGTATAGGAAAGAAAGGGAGTATGGAATTATGTAGATAGGGCGGTCAAAACATATAAAAAGCCGCGAGTTGAGATATAAAAGGTCGGTCGTTGTTGTTGTTTATTTTAGATTTTGTTTTTAGCTTGGTTTCGTTCTGGTATCGCTTGATAGTTTGCCTGATAGTTATAGTATTAATAGATTGATAATTTTGGATTTATCGCTTGTTAATAAAGACAGGGGTTTGATTTGTACTATTTTGTTTTTGGCGGATAAAAGAAACGTACACTTGAAATTTGGCTCGGCTTAATTATTTTACCTAAAATAATGTATGTTGAAGAAGACTTGCTGATAGTTGACGAGGTCGGCGTCTCTAGTCAACAAGCAGGGCGCGAACAAATTTTCGCCCGGCCCGTGTTTTCAGACCCTGAGAGGGTCTATTGTAGAGTGGCGGATCCCAGCCAGGAAAGACTCCGCCGAAGTGAAGGCTCGGGTGGATATTCGTATGCGGACGCGGTTTGGGACCGCGTGGTGCGGAATTCGAATGTCGCCCGGCAAAAATCTACATATTGCTTCTACTGATTTGTTTCTAATAAAATGTGATATGCATGAATACAACATAAATAACATGAAGTAATATGAATAACTTAACAATGCAAAGTAAGCCACAAAAAAGAAGCTTTTGAAAGAATTCTAATCAAAAAATGGAAGCCAGATAAAAAAATATTGTACATTCACCACCAAAGAAAAATGACAAAAACTGCGGTAAACGATATTTCAAAAAATAGTCCGAACAGGACGAACTGGACACTGCTTGAATCACTCGAATGAGCATTGCTGAATCGGAGTGAAAGGATACTTACCCGTCAATAAAGGTCTCGATGACGTTGTCATCGTATCAGAACTCAGATATATTATACAAGCCGCAAACCCGACAAAATATACGGCATAATTGAGAGGTTGTCAACAGGCTCGAGAAAGATCGAACTTTTCGGAAGATTACACAACGTGCGACCGAACTGGGTAACAATTACACATCAACTGCCCAATATTATGATTGTAGACCCCAAAATGAAAGAAGCATTTTCTAACTCATTCCCAAATGGAAACTGCTCTAATAAACAATCTTTAATTTTTTCACTAATGCAAGTAATATTTTTCGAAGATGAATTTATTTTATTTTGACGTCATCTGAATTATCGACGTCATTAATATCATATTATTACTATAACTTATTTATTTTATTTAAACCGTTATTTATATCTTTTAACTGAACAAGTGTTGTTACGCTAGAGCCGAACTAAAAGCTAATAATAAAAAAATTAATCTTAAAGTAAAAACATCATCATCATTATCATCATCGTCGTTTGTCCAGATGATGTTTGCCCGCAGGTTAAACCGTCGTTTGTCCATCTTTAAGATGTTATCATTATAAGCAGCAAATCTGAGGTGATGATGACGATGATGGAAACAATTGTGATGATGATCATGTCACTTTTTATAACCATCTTCGTTGTTGTCATTATCATCATCACACTCACAAATAGCATAATAACTGTCTAAATTACCATCATTATTATCACCACTCTCCAACAACGTGAAATTAAAATTTTCAATATCTTTAATGTTATTATTATTCGAATTATTAGTTCGGAGATATTGTGATATTAACATTGTGTAATAAGCGTGTACTATCTTTGTTGTTATTTAATGTTGACTTTGTACAACGCCAGCAATGGCAACTGATTTTTAAGAAAATTTTAAAACAATATAATAGTATTTTCAATAGTAAAAGTATACAGAGATTAACTTGAACAAAAATTAATAATAATTACATTATAAATAATTTTATTAGTATTCCTTATAATATTGTTATTATTGTTATTGCTAATATTAATATTAGTTTTGTTGCCTAAGCTTACACTATCAAAAAAAACTTTTCATATTTTTTAAAACACTTGATTTGAGGTTTTATTGAGGTTATTATCCTTAACAATGCAAAGTATGCCACAAAAACGTGGCTTCTGGAAGAATTTTAATCAAAAAATGGAAGCCAGATAAGAAAATATTGTACATTCACCACCAAAGAAGAATGTATGAAAAATGACAAAAACTGCGATAAATGATATTTCAATTGTCGATTGTCAGTATTTAAACATGTGCCTCAATATAAACGTGTGCAGGTACTTCACTACGAAACGCATGAAAAGGACGAGATAAACTTCAAGATGCCTTCAAGAAAAAATCCTATCCGCCACAATGGATACAATGTGATTTACGCTACTCCGATTTCAACATCCTGGGGAAATTTTTGTTGTGATGGCAGTTTCGCCATTTGACATCTACTATGGACCAATGTCCGATGAGGTATTGAGAAAACTCAATGTTTCCACATTGCAAGACAACGGTTATATATTTCTATGGGTTACAATAACAGCCATTCAATCTGGAAGAAAACTTTACAAATGTGGAATTAAAAGAATGAATTAACTTAGATAAAAACTAACCAGCTTCAAAAAATAGTCCGAACAGGACGAACTGGACACTGCTTGAATCACTCGAATGAGCATTGCTGAATCGGAGTGAAAGGATACTTACCCGTCAATAAAGGTCTCGATGACGTTGTCATCGTATCAGAACTCAGATATATTATACAAGCCGCAAACCCGACAAAATATACGGCATAATTGAGATGTTGTCATCAGGCACGAGAAAGATCGAACTTTTTGGACGATTGCACAACGTGCGACCGAACTGGGTAAAATTAGAAATCAACTGCCTAATATTATGATTGTTGACCCCAAAATGAAAAAAGCATTTTCTAACTCATTCCAAAATGGAAGCTGCTCTAATGAACAACCTTTAATTTTGTTCAACGTGATAATTGAACCACAAATGCATGTAATACTTTTTGAAGATGAATTTATTTTATTTTGACGTCATCTGAATTATCGACGTCATTAATATCATATTATTACTATAACTTATTTATTTTATTTAAACCGTTATTTATATCTTTTAACTGAACAAGTGTTGTTACGCTAGAGCCGAACTAAAAGCTAATAATAAAAAAATTAATCTTAAAGTAAAAACATCATCATCATTATCATCATCGTCGTTTGTCCAGATGATGTTTGCCCGCAGGTTAAACCGTCGTTTGTCCATCTTTAAGATGTTATCATTATAAGCAGCAAATCTGAGGTGATGATGACGATGATGGAAACAATTGTGATGATGATCATGTCACTTTTTATAACCATCTTCGTTGTTGTCATTATCATCATCATCCCATTCATAATCATCATAATTACTGTCTAAATTACCATCCTCATCATCATATCGTCATCATCATAACAAGACCTTTATTATCATCATTATAACACATCATCAGCGCGTTTAGATTATAGAACCAAGAATTACCGAACATGCTACGACAATTATAATAATGACATTAATGATGACGATGATGATGAAAAGCATGATATTGATGATGCCAACGACAGCTATGATGATGTGTTTATATGTCTAAACATGTTTATAGGCGTGTATACATGTGTGTATGTGTGCATGTATTTGTGCATGTATATACGTGTTTATGCGTGTATATGCCTATGTACAAATTGACCCTTACTAAGCAATCAAAACATGTGATAAATCATCCAATCAATTTAGTTTTCCGTAGTTTTTTATTTAATAGGCAAAGCAAAAGCACTCTATACAAAAATATAAATCCAACCTAACTAGTATGATCAAAGGTATCCACACTGATTACAAAATCTATTCTCTAAATTATGATCTTTATCTAAAATGTCATACAGAGCTAATAAACTTTTTAATTGCTTAAGGTAATGAAAGCTATTTCATTTGAATTGTTATACTATAATTTGCTAGGTACAAAATCAACCTGTTTTCAGCATTCTTTACTGAAAATTTTCAAACTTTTAAAACTTGTTCAGAGAAAATTTATGCATTCAAACTTCTGAATGAAAGAAAATGGTCATTACAATCATCAGATTCTTATATTTTTTAAATATTTATTTATATTTATATTAACATCATTATTATATTTGTACTGGTAAACAAAATATTATAAATTCACAAACTTTACCCGTGAGATTGACCATTATTATGAACATTATTATATGATTAGATAACTTTGATAGATAAAAAAATTAAGTAACTAATTCTAAAAATAAAATGGCAAATAATTTAAATTATTAAATAAATGACACTACCTAAATGACAGACAATGCCAATCTATTTGTGTCTTCTTTGCCACTCAGAAGCAGAAGAAAAATTTGTAAATTTGTTGGTTTAATGAATCTTTCAATATATACTTGCCAACCACAAGCCACCAACCCAGCAAAAGAAATGTTGTTCTCGACAACCCCCAATCACTATGCCGCTAGTCAGACACGCCGAAAAGTCGGAGAAAACGTTTTTATTATCAATAACATGAATTTAAACTACAACTAATTTAAAAAACACTAACTAACTAGTTGACTAAAAAACTACGGAAGTTGAAACCAACGCGCTCACCCAATATCGCCCAACAAAGACAAGTTATGTTTGCGTTGTTGCTGTTGTTTTTATCATTTTTATATCAACTACCACAAAACGTTCTACATTATTATATTTTAATTAAAATACTCAAAAACAATTTTTAAAAGCAATAATCATAAACTTAACAAAAAATCATTTTAACACTAATAAAAATAATTCAAAACACATACAAAAACATGAACATAACATTATTTACAACATAAAATAACAACTAAAAACATAAACAAAAGAATTTATAGCATAAACAAAAATATAAACGTAAGAAAAATATAAGCAAAATATAAGAAAAATAGTTTTTGTTCAATCCAAAAACACCACCACGCTAATAACAGACATCACTGAAATGCACCAAACAGGCAGGCACAGAATGAAACTTTTTCGCAAATCTTTATAATTACACATAAAACTGAACAAAAATTGTACATCAAAATTAGAATTAATTAGAGATACAAAAATGGAAAAAATTAATTACAAAAATATAAACATGAAAATAAAGAAATAAAATAAATATCAACTTTCAAATTATGTTTTAACGTCATGTTGCAGTATGTGTTAAACGTCCAGTAAAAATGAAACTCGAACAATTTACTCGTTTGTTCCTTGGTCAAGTTTTTGTATTTGATTTAGTCACTCAGATTTATTCATTTTCATCACCACTACCACCATCCTCACCGTTATTATCATCCCCATTGTCGTCATCTTCGTTAGTTCAACTGTTGACGTCTTCCAACCTCACTTCTTTCTACCAAAAGTTACAAGCAGATCCCAGCAAAACGTCATCAACAACATCGTTCGAAGCAACAACTACTACTATTACTACAACTACCACCACCACTACTACTACTACTACTACTACTACTGCTACTACTACTACTACCACTATTACTACTACTACTACCACCACTACTACTACTACTGCTACTACTAATACTACCACTATTACTACTACTATTACTACTACTACTACTACTACTACTACTACTACTACTACTACTAATACTACTATTACTAATACTACTACTAATAGTAATAATAATAATAATACTTTAACTACTACTAATACAATAACTTACAATATTACTACTACTGCTGCTACTACTACAACTACTAAAAGTTTGATCTCCACGAATAAAGTCTCATCCAACACTGACAATGATTTATGTTCTGTAGAAAAACCGACACACTCGACGAATATAGATACATCTCTGTTGCATCCCTTCATTACGGATGATTCGACGGCCGCACTGATTACTTGCGCATCGTTGTGTCGCTATTCAGTACCAGGTCAAGAACTTTGCTTCGGATTTAATGTCAGATTTGATCTGATGATGTGCGATTTGTTTCGGCATCGTCCGATATATTTCACAAAACAATTCGGATGTGTCTTCTACTCAGTAAGCTTTATATTTTATATTCAGGATTTTTGATTAAGATTTGGTTTTGATGTAGATAAAACAATATTTTTTATAATTTTAGTTTTTGTTATAAAAAAGCAAATTTTTGAAATATTTAGTAAAATGATTAATTCATTTGATAATTCGATTACCATTAATTAATTAATTAATTAATTAATTATTATTATATTATCATCAGCTCAAGCCTGTCAACGCTTCCAGCCCAATTGTAGTGATTCCGACGTATCCACCCCAGAATTTAATCAGTAATCAAAGTTGGTAGTATTCATAAACTTTACCCGTCGTTTAGCGTTAGTTGAAAGAATGATACATGATAACTCAGCAGTGATTGAATGATTCACACTGACCTGGTTCGAATGCAAAGTGCTTCCACTGTCACGAGTTTTTGCATCTGTGTGTCGTTGAAGCAAACGCAGTATAAAAAAATTAGTTTCACCAATTTAGACTTTTAACGGTTATGATGATAATGATAATAATAATAATGATAATAATAATAACATTATTAATAATAATAACAACAATAATGTAAGCTCTTTTGTTATCCAAAAGACGAAAAAGAAAAGTAACATAAAATCGAATTAATCGAATAAATTGTAGTAAACGTTTTTTAAATACGTGTTTGTTAGCTTACCGAACGTTGTAATCAGAAGAGATTATCATTTCTTGAAAGCTGTTATATGAGAGCTTTCCTGACAAATTTTAACTGGGAACTTCGACTATTCTACAATGTGGAATTTTAGAATGTAATTTTTTATCGACTTTTTTTTGTCATCCGTTAGCAATGGAATAAAGACAAGTGCTCAAAATCGGATTTCTGCTGACCCGCAGTTAGTGCATAGAATGTTGGTTTCGCTTGAACCACATCAGGAAGATTATATCTCCTTTGATGTGGCTGTTGTAAGATGTAGTCCACAAACTTTTTAGCGTGACTTGAAATAACTGCTGAGTTTAACTTCGAATGCTTTTGTCTAATTTTCAAGTGATCTTTTAATCGGCTTGATTTCAATTTTAACGATAAACGTTTCGACACGCTAATGCTAGGTGGCAGGGATAGCCGATCCCTTACCGATTCGACATTCAAGGGGTCCAGGCTGCTGCTTATCTAAATCAACAAGCCTCGTAAAATCAAAGTTTGAGTGAGATTGAATGTGTTTGCGTTTTATTTCCAATTTCCATTGAGTGATAAAGGATAAAACATTTTTAAGGTTTTCAATCAGCGGTTTTTAGCTTCTAAGTTGTTTTTTAAACAAAATATTTTTTCAAGCTCTGATTTTTAAATTGATTGTAAGCCTCCATATTTAGCCGCACTGTTGATTTTTTTCTCAATTATTGTCGTCACTTTTGTGATACATAAATTGAACAGAAATGGAGAGACGGAATTCGGGAAGTTGAACTTTTTCAGCCGGACAGGACACCGAAACAAATCGGCTTAAATATTGTAAAATAGATTTTCAATATGGAGTGAGATGTTTAAATGGTCAAGGAGAAAAAAAATGGTATCGGGGATGACTTCACCAAACGCAAAAATCTAAAAGTGTGACGACGATAGTATATTGACGTTTCTTCCCGTTGTTATACTCGTGTGTGTTAACATCTGGGTGGGTTCAGTCAAGCCATCAACATTAGTATAGAACCTTTATAGATAGTTTTTATATATTGGCTTGTTACCTTAAAAAATGCTACAATCTGTAACTGAATGTAAAAAATATTTCGTAAATTGGGTTGCTCGTAACTTTTTTCCAAAAATTTGTTTAGTAAATCCCTTTCTCAAGCATGTGGGAACTGTAGAAGAGGACCAATGATGACTTATGGATACGATGGTGGATAATTAAAATATCGGGCATGTTTTTAATTGCATATCTTTGTCTAGAGGATCGTAAAAAGACATCGTAAAAATATAGGATATATATATAGTCAGGTTTACAGCCAAGTTTCCAGAAGAGAAAGCCAAGTTGTAAATGAGATTTATGTAATTGCTTGGATTAGTTTATTCTTTCTATTGCTATCGGTATTCAAATAAACGTTCCACAAAGTTTGCGTTTGAAGCAGTTGTGTTCATCTAACGGAAATTTTGAACCTACGGATTAACGAACACTTGACGATCCTTAGAAGCTACAACACTGGTGTTGGAAAAATAGAGATCATTGAAGTTATAACATTGGTATTGGCAGTAACGAAGTCAAGGGATACAACAGTACGTAAGTTGAAAGCATTTTTTGATAAAGTTAGAAATGAACATTAACCTCTAACCATAAAACTGGTTTCTTGGAAGTCGAATTCCAAGGTGAGATGTTTTTATATTTTCAACTTTTGGTGATAATGGTTGGTTGCTCGCTGGTGGAGATTGTTGCCAAATATTTGGAGATGCTAGAAGCGATGATGACGTTATTCAACTTTTTCTTATTGTTAAAGGTTTTTTATGAGTTTTGCATGGCCGTTGATGCTTTTTTAGTCCTGATGCAGCAGCTATAATACAATTTATCAATATTAACTAAATAATCATTTTATAAATTTGAATTTAAAATGTTAAAGTTTGAATATTTTAATTTGCAGGCACTTGTATTTTTGCACAGCGCCAGGAGTGTCGGCCAGTTTTATCTAACGATCATTTTTTGTAATATAGGCGTTTAGTTTTAATAATCGGGAAAACAAAATTTAGAATCAAGATAAAATAAACAACGAACAAAATTGAAGTTATTAAAAATATCGCAACCTTTCTTGCGATTCAACGTGTAACGATCTAGTTTTAGAACCAACATAAAAATAGTGAATTGAACAAATTTGGCCAACACTTTTTTTACGCACGCTAAATAATAATAATAATTATTATGATAATAATGATAAAAAAATAACAATTTCAATAAAAAAAATTTCATTTAAAAACAATTTTTTTATTAAGCTTTGCAGCTATCGTCAACAGATTCTCAAATTTTTCTCGTTCAACTAAAACTTAATTCATCATCACTGTCCTTCAACAAGAGTTGGTCTGAATTCAAAGTCGGTTTTTCGGTACCAGGTTCATCGAAATCGCAAAATAACGAGTCAAACACAAAGAATTGCCACCATGAAAATACATGGAATGCATATTGGTTGGGTAATGAACTGTTATCTCAGTTGACGAATAAATATAAATGTGGTCTTCATTTATATTTTTATGCAAATATTCGTTAGTTCTGCTTTTGTGTATTTTTTATGTTTATTTTTTAAAATTTGAATGTTTATGTTATCTTCCTTATTATAGTTGAAAATTTTAGTTTAAAAATATTTTTAAAACCAGTTTATTCTAATTTATTATCAATAGACCTAGATTCGGGTCCAATACCTAGGATACATAGATTCCGTCCCATTACTAAATTAAATGAACATAAACAACTACCAACAAAACAACAGAAAACAAAACACCACCACCATAAACTAACAGTTGGCAAATCAGAACTTTACCATTCCCATTTTGACCGCTTTGTCGTTGGTTCCGAAATTTCCAACTACGAATTGAACGATATAAACCTTTTTAGTGGTTTGAAGGCTGGAATGTTGATGAAGAAAGGGATGAAATTTTCAACTTATGACAATGATAGCGATGCTAATCCTGATGGAAACTGTGCTTCGTTATATAACGCAGGTTTATGTTGGATTTGACGTTTTAAAAATATCCTCCTATTTTTTTATTACTTTTACAAACATTTCAAATGACTGTATTGTTACTTTGATTATCTATAATTTGAGGTAAATATTAAATTATTTGTAAAATTAGTGTTGGAGTCGGAGTCGGATATTATGTGTTTTATACTAAAATAAATGCTAACATTTATAATACTGAAAATAAATGCTAATAATGGAAATAAAATCACATAACTTTCTTTCAGTATGTTTTAAAACACTAATATAGAGTAATTTTACTAAAAAAACACTTAAAATGACTGATCTTAAGTGTTCTTTAAGTATTTTTTAATCGGTGATGGTAAAATTATAATGCAAAAGTTTAAGGATTTTCCTGGTAGTCAGAACATGAAATCGGGAATCAGAATCGAGAGTCAGAAATGAGTCGGAATCAATCAAGGAGTAGTCAGAAAAATTTTTATCCTACTCCGATACTACTCTGACTTTTATTTAAGAATGGCAGCCTCTCGTAAATAGTTCATTTATTACTATATTGCAATATCTTTCAATGTACTTAATAATAACAATAATATGAACATTTTATTGCACCAATTTGCACAGTTGCTTCAGAGGCACTCAATTTTTATAGCACCCTACTGTCGGGTGCGCTTAGTTGCTGTTTGCAAAGTTCATTAAAATTGCATCGGATGTTTCTTTATTGTTCTTTGAGTAGTTGTTGATGAATGTATGGAGGTAGGTATGTGTAGATGGTGGAGTATCCCACATGAAACACACGCGAAGGAAACGATGGAGTTAGGGCGGTCTCGTTGTCCGTTGTGATCAATAATAAGCTGGAATCGTTCCGTTGGTTTCATCATTCCGGTTGACAATGATACGTTGGCGGCGTTGACAATTAAATTTAATTAACATATTTTTGACGAATTGCAATCCGAAAAAGATTTCGGCAGCCTGGAATTGCTAAAAAGCAACGCCCGAAACACCAATGTCAACGAATCATAGACATCGCAACATTCATCTTACACTTACTAGTTTTAATTAACTTTGATTTGTTTTAGAGCGAAAGATTAATTCAAAATTAGTTAGTTCTAATTTTCGAATATTTATGTTTTTAATTAATTCTAATACATTTAAATTTAAGTTTGTATGTTTAAAATCTTTGGTATCTTTTCCAACTCTGAAACTCTAACATTTCTAGAATAGAATAAAACACTTTCAAGTGTTTTTATTACTGATGATTCCTCTGTTTCTAAATTTATTAGTAGGAAGAATTCCAGTTGCCCGTTGTTGAATATTTGTTATCTGATGTCTTTGTTCTATGAGTATTGTTTCGGCTAGTCATAAATTATAATGGCTGCTATTGTAATGTAAGATTTCAACATTGTGGTTCAAGATTTGTCTAGTAATTTTAGTTTTGTGTTTTTCTTTCACGTGATTCTTTATGGTGTCCGAAAAATTCATCGTGGGGTAAAATTCATTGTGAGGCTTATTTGAAGTTAGAGTTTGTGCAATTACACACCTATGAATGTTGTACATTATAAATACATAGTATATATATATATATATATATATATATATATATATAATATATATATATAATATAGTTAATTACGGCTGTGATTCGTCGGTAAAACGAAATCCTGATGGCGACGTAGTTGACAATTGAGGCAGGCGTATCGAGCGGTCCTGCCAATATTAGTGCCAACCGTTTTCTGTAAACCTTCCCGAAGAGGGTTCGATCGCGAGCAAAGCTAGTGCTATTAGCTTGAAATTCACTTGAATTCAAGTAGAAATTTGTTGAAATTAATTGAAAGAAGTCGAAATGTGAATTATTTTCAAACATTCATTAATAGATCGTTGATTGAACGACAGTAGGGTAGCATGGGGCAAAAAGCCACCTCTAACGTTTGGCGGTTGACCACACCCAACAACTCGAACATTTTTTAAAGTTTAATGCTGCCTTAGCTAGATTGGTATGTCCACCACCTAATTCTACAATTTAAATTATTCAAAAATACACTTTCTGTGTTTTATGAGGAAAACTATAGAGGTCTATCAAAAGAGCTTCTTGCCCCATACCTGGGGCAAAAGGCCCAAATTAAGAAATTAACAAAACAAGCTGTGATTACAATGGTTATAGCTTTAATAGAAACAAAATGCATGGAAAAAAATGCTTTATTATTTTTAATAAAATGACAAAATAAAATTTATTAAAATTTTAATGTTTTGTTTGTAATTTTAATCATCACACTCAATACAAATAAAAATGTCATTATAATCCTCTTCTAGTCCTTGGCAACCATTATGATGCCAAATGCAATATTTTTGGCATTTGATCCACTGACGCCCAGTTACATCTTTACAAAAAATTTGTGTGCAAGTCCCACATGGAGTTGTATCTTTGGTTCGTTTCACCGTTTTACTTTTTTTATCTAATAAATCTTTAGAACGCTTTATCTTTTTACAATTTTGATCATCTTTTTCTTGTAGCAATTTTTTGTTTGGTGAGGACGTTAGCAAGGTAGCTCTTTCAGATTTTCTTTTTCTACCTCGTGGCGTTGATGATTTTATTGGTCCAACAATTGACTCCAAAAGGCTTTTTGAAGAAATTGATTGGTTTGGGTCATCTTCAACCACTGATTCAATGGTTTCAATCAATGAATTTGAATGTAAATTCAAATCTAAAGCAGATGATGGTAACGGTTCATCTGTCAAATTCGAAGGATGAAAATCTTCATCTGAAAATACGTTCATATTCGGTGGCCAAAGACCTGTGGAAGCAAAACCATTTACTGCTTTGTCAATGGTAAGACTTTTGAAATAAGCTGTTTTGAAAATTGTTGCAATTTCATAGAATGTTATTCTACGGCCTTTGTTTGTCATCATCCAGGAATCAGCTGATGAGTTATAAAATGATTTCAAACTTTTGAAAAAGGTTTTATCAAGTGGTTGCAACTTGTGTGTGCAATGGGGAGGAAAAGTTAACATTTCAATGCCATTTTCCTGGGCAAACATCACTGACTCCAATGTCTTATGACTATGATGACCATCTAAAAGTATTAAATGCTTGTCATTCACTGATGGTTTAACAATAGAAATAAAATGTCGTAACCATTTCATAAAGCACTCACTATCGGACCAACCACTCGGAGTGCATGTCCCAATTGATTGTGGTGGACTGTCATTCATTAAAGAATCCACTATTCTTTTTCTTGGAAAGATAAACATAGGTGGAATAAATATTCCGGCAGCGTTCATAGAACATAAAACAGTTACTGTATGTCCACGTTCCCCGCTTGTAATTTTTCCTATTTGTCTGGAACCTTTGCTGCCAACAATTTTCACTGGTTTCTGAACAGTTGAGATTCCAGTTTCGTCCACATTCCATATTTTCATAGCATTGTAATTTCCATTGTTGAGAGTTTCAAGATATATGTCGAAAAATATTTTTACCTGCTCTTTATTGAAGCCAACTAACCGTGATAAATTTATCGCTTCCGGCTTTCTAATAGATAGCGTTGGATGTCTTTTTAAAAAACCATACATCCAGTCTATCCCTGCCATTTTCATTTCAACCTTGAATGGATGGCTTAATTTCATTTTTTCGGCAAATTCAAAAGCCACTTTCCTGACGTCTGTTGTGGTCATTCCGAAGAGTGATTTTTCCATACTTTTAATAATTTCTACTAGTTCTAGTTCTTGGTCCTTTGTAAAAATTGAGTGAAAATGTCCCAGCTTAATTTTTCCAGGAAATTTGGTCATGGCCATCTGATGCCTTTTTAAAGTTCTTGCAGGGACCCCATATTTTTTGACAGCCGTTTTTAGTGGCATGCCATTCGTTACTGATTCAACAGCAATTTTCAATGATTCATCATTATAAGACGAACATCTGGTGGATTTTCTTATGTAATTTCTTATCATTTTCAATCTTCAAAAATTAAAATAATTTTAATTTAATTTTAAAAACTTATACAAAAACAAAAGTTTGAAAAAATTTTAAAAATATAATTTTAATTACAATTATTGGCTGCCTTAAGTGAAAATATCTAAAACTTGACAAATAGTTAAAACAATTAAAGTTAGCCTTCTTGCCCCAAAGTAAAAGAGGCGTTTTGCCCCAAAAGAGAGCGCGAAGAATAAATTAAATTTTAATTAACAAAAAATTGTTCTAACCAATTTGAAGTTGATTTTCTATATGTAAAAATGATTTCTCCTCACAACAAACTACTCCTAATCACAAAAAATTATGTTATTTTAACAAATTTTAAAAGAAATCGAAAAACAAAAATTATAACACGAGCGATATTTGACCTACAAATTCTTGAAACTTTTTTAATAAAATAACCAAAGCTCAATACCACGCGGTTTTTTATTATAAATAATGTGGGTGCGTTCTATTTTTCAAAAATTAATTTAAAAATTTTCGGACTTGAATTAATTCGGAGAAATTTGAAAAAGTGCTTTTTGCCCCACGTGGCGTTTTGCCCCACGCTACCCTATTGACGAAGGTCAGGAATCGAACACAACACCAACAACTGTACCAATAAATTGATAAATTAATTAACTGAACCGAATGGTGAATAGATTTCGGCATTTTAATGATCGAACGATGGTTAGCAATAGGTCTAACTATTATATTGCACGATAGGAATTGAACCTACCGACTAATCAATGCGCTTAGAAGCTAAAATTTCGGGTCTATCCACGAAGATATTCCGCTCTATCACGGTTATTGTAATCTTGTACTATACGTTGAATTCGAACTGCCGTGTCTCAATAAACCTTTTGGCTTGGAGGCGTTTGGCACAAACAACATACTGTTTTATTTTTCTTTCATTTAAAGCTTGTTCGTTTTTCAAGGATGAAATGAATTTTCATATTGTTGGATGGCTAGCTCCAATTAGCTCACTGAAGACTCTGTGCTACCCTTCGCAGAAATTGTTGGTGTTTGGCAAGCCGTTGAGATTGTAGCAGTTCTACAGGTCGTATGCACGATGAATTTTCTACGATGCATTTTCCCCCAAGATGAATTTTCTACAAAGAATTTTCCCACGATAAATTTTCCACGATGAATTTTCCGTAAATCGATTCTTTATAGTACGATTTTGTACGTGTATCGTGAGTCTTTTCGATAACTTGATCATCGTCATATCAATGTATTCGAAATTATGGTGCTGATTAGAATACAAAAATAATCATTATTTCTATCATCATCTTCTTCTTCTTCTTCATCACCATCATTGTCATCATCATCATCTCCATCATCACTAACATCATCATCATCATAATTTCACTCACCAATCAGGCTGGTGGTACGCCCCCGTCGCAACAACCTTAGGTTTATGCGGTGCCACGAACGTCAACACGGGAGACCCTTACTTCGTGATCTACAACGAAGCAACCATTTACCGTTTGCTTAGTTCGCAGATGTGGATGCAGTGTTATTAAATGTGTAAGTAGAATTGACACTATAACGCTTATTTGTTTAGATGCCTTTATTAATTTGTTAAATACATATAGTAACATGTATGTAAAAATAATCGGACACAAATATAAGTCAAAAAACAAAGTAATTATGTTTAGTTTTCATTATATAACTTTTTCATTCATCAACATATAAATTAGACCAGTTTTTTTCGAATGGATGTATGAATGCATGTATGCATCAAATTAAATCAGAAATACTTTTTATTTACCAGAACAAAACACAAACAAAAAGAAAGTTCGAATAACATTGATTGAATGATTGATTGCATGTATGATTGTATGTATTGAGAATTTTTACATTATTTAGTTTATTACAAATTTATTATTTAGTTTATCATATATTACAATACATTATTAGAAAAAATAGAAAAATTTAAATTAATAATTAATACTATAACGATAGAATTTAATGAAAACGTAATGGCCTTTAACTTAATAATGTACAAATATACAAATATATATATATATATATATATATATATACATATATTTATATTATACAAAATATATAAGGCCATTATATCAATTAATCAATCAATGATCCTCCTTTTGCCATCAAGGGACCATCGAGGGCGATGGTGTACATCAAAGCATGCTTTTCAGTGGCGGATCTAGACAACTTTGACGGGAGGGGGCCAAAATTTTGAAAATGTTTAAAAGTTTAAATTTTTTTCAAATATGGATAGGAGACCAAGATTTATGGAAGCGTGGCCAAAATTAGGCTCGCGACCTTTTTTTTGATATAAACTGGTGTTTTTTTATGCAAAAACTAAGTTTTTTTAATAAATATACTGCTCACAACTGGGTGATGGTCTCTCCGGTCTTAACCCCCAAGATCCGCCATTGAATGTATATGTATAATGCATATACATTCAGTGGCGGATCTTGTAAATTCAGTACTGTATTTTAATAGCGCTCTGAAATACCCCTGATTGTTACCAGATTTGAGATCTAATGCACCGTCATCCCGGTGTCCACGCAAAGCAAAATTTTGCCTTCCACAAAGTTTAATAGTTTCAATAATATTGTTAAACAATTTTCTATTTTGCTCTATTTTTGTGGAAAGAGCGGAATTTGATAACTTTAAAACATTAGTTTTATTTTTAATCAAACTCAGAAACATTTCTGATTTTTATGTAGCCTTTCTATGAAAAGATGTCGCTTGATGACAGCGACATTGATCTAAAGCTGATTTATAACGATTTAAAGGTGATATAACAAATACTCCGACAGAGCCACATGATGGATGTCAATTTGCATAAAGTACACAAAACCTACAGAATGCTCCTTTTTCAAATCAGAATAAAACAGCCAGGAAAATTCTTGAAACCAATGGAATTTAAAAAACCGTTGTCTTTTACCTTTCAACACAAATGGAAATTTATAATTCTCGTCAGGTTTTCATGAATTTTTCAAAAGATCGTATCTTAAATCATTCGAAATGCTTAGGATTTCTGCAGTTGCATATTGTCCAATATCTAAAAGTATTAGTTCCTTTGAAAAACTATGACATGAATTACCAGTTTTGTCTGAAACATCAGTCATGTCATCGTTTAAATTTAATAAAAGTCCTTCTTCCAAGACATCAAATTTTATAATTGTAAAAAAAACTTTGAGATTAAATTTTTTTATTTTCCTACCAGACCTGAATAGTTAAATACTACAAAATTAATTCAAGTCTTGCCGGGTAACGACTGGTACGCATTAACCCTAACACCAAAAATGTTTTTATGCTTAGCCTATTGCTAATTTTTTTAGTTGAAAATACAAATTTATTTCATATGCAATTATTGAAATATCTAGGTATTACCATTAACGGCCTCAACTGTATTGAGATCATCGCACTGCTTCTGTTTTTTTGCCGGAGTCGGTTGAAAAAAGTTTAAAATACTACTTTTTTAAAAAACATTTTTTTAAATTTTAAAACGAATTCAAATGCAAACTGATTTTATGAAACACAAAAAAAATAATATAAGACGTGCCAAATCGTAAACGGAATAAAATGTGAACTGCGAGCAAAACATAAAATTAAGAAAAGTCTATATAAGTAAAAACTGTAATATTTTTTTGATTTACTTTTTGTTGATATTATTTTCAATAAAAGAAATATACTAAGAAAACATGAATTATTTTTATTTTGTGCCGCAAAACACTATTTAAGTTTAATATATGAATTATATTCGAAAATAAACTTCTATCAAATTTATATAATAAATCAGCGTTATTTTTATTGTTAAAAAGAGTCGATCTCAAAAATTTTTATATTATTATTTAACGCCGTATTTAATTGAACTGATGATAGCTGGAGAAGCCATGGCCCCCCCCGGACCCTCCTTAACTCCACCACTAATACTTTTTACATTTATATATAGGCCATTATATATATATATGTAGATTTTCGCCGGGCGACATTCGAATTCCGCACCACGCGGTCCCGAACCGCGTCCGCATACGAATATCCACCCGAGCCTTCGCTTCGGCGGAGTCTTTCCTGGCCGGGATCCGCCACTCTACAATAGACCCTCTCAGGGTCTGAAAACACGGGCCGGGCGGAAGTTTGTTCGCGCCCTGCTTGTTGACTAGAAACGCCGACCTCGTCAACTATCAACAAGTCTTCTTCAACATCCATTATTTTAGGTAGAATAATTAAGTCGAGCCAAACTTCAAGTGTACACTTCTTTTATTCAATAAAAGAAATAAAATAACAAACAAAATAATACAAATCAAACCTCTGTCCTTATTAAAACAAAACGATAAGTCCAAAATTAATCTATTAATAATACAACTGACAAGCAAGAGACCAAAACCTAAAATTAAGATAACAAACGACCAGCCTCTTTATATCTCAACTCGCGGCCTTTTATATGTTTTTACCGCCCTATCTACATAATGCTTTCTATATCATAGAAAATTCTATACTCCTATCTATACTCTCTTCCTATACTCAGAAAAGCGATACAGCACAGCAGCGTCGCTTATATGGCATATCAAATAACAAAATATACATGCATAGAATGACTAGTAAATAAATATATAGATATGTATAGGCGGCACGCCTCAAAGACGCAATCATTATCATCACAATTTCACAAAATATACAGGCGGCATATCTCAATCGCGCAATCATTATCATCCCAATCGTCACAACTTCACATATATATATATATATATATATATATATATACATATATATACTGCTTATTGATTTATCTAAATTGAATAGTGAAAATAGAAAATAATGATCTCTCACTTCTTCATTTAAATTGTAGAAGTATACTTAACAAACTTCATGAAATCAATTTTCTACCACAAAATTTTCAATTCTCAATTTTAGCTTTCTCCAAAACCTGGCCTAATGATGCCACATTTGCCATTGTTAACATTCCAAACTTTAATTCCGTTTTTCAAAATCGTCAGAATAGAATTGGAAGTGG